ACTAATTAAATTATAAGACACCTTTTTACGATTACCTTTTTTTGTAAATTCTTTTTTGCCATAAGCCATCCATTTTTTCCCTCTAAATTCTTTTTTTTTCTTTAAATCCCTTTAAATTCTTTCTCATAGCATCAAAATATTTATGGGTGATATGCCCGAATTCCTTAAATTCCTTTTTTTTTTTCTTTAAATCCCTTTAAATTCTTTCTCATGGCATCAAAATATTTATGGGTGATATGCCCGAATTAATGGAAGCATAAAATTAGTATAAGAAAAATTTTTAATCAATGTATTTTAAAATCGTCATATGTAATTTAAGAAACTAAAGGTAAATCATTATCGCTATTATATTATTAGTAAATTTTTAATCAACGTATTTCAGTATTTTAAAATCGTCACATTTATAAAATGACTAAAAAAATATTAATTATAATTTAAGAAACTATCAAAATTATAAGGTAAATCAGTTGACATCACTATTAGTTAAAATAAACTAAATAAACTGATAGTTTATAAGTAAAAATAGAACCACGTTACACAATTCATGACATTTGTAATTTATACATTTTAAATAGGGATTTATCAGCTTTACAAAAAGCCGATTTCAGAGATTTCCTGTTGTTAATACAATAGAATCAGAATTGAAATAGCATGTCTGGACAATCTAATTTAAGCCAAGCTACGCTAAACTAATTTAAATACAATTTTTAAAACAATGCAATCCAATACTATAATGCTAGTTAACTTTTAATTAAAAAAAAGTGATTGGACAATTTACGGATTTTGAACTTAGAGTTTTTAATATTTGGCAAATGTCTTTTTGTACATGTCTAATTTGAAATCACTGTGGCATAGATTAATTCTTGCAAGTTCAATCTGTGGAATTATAATCAAATATCGAACATATTCATATTTGAAAAATGTTTTTTGGAATATGTCCAGTTTACGGAACCACTGCGACACAGAGGACTGCGAATTTTTGAAATTATGTGAATAATTAGAATATGCTTTTTTAGTAAAATTCAAATTTAGAAATCGCTTTTTTTCTTTAACCATGTGAAAATTTTCAAATAAATTGACTGATGGGTGTACCGGATTGAAAGACCTTTCTTTTATGATTACATGTTTTTTTTCAATAATTACACATGACAAAAAAAATTGTTCCTTTACAATGGTTATTATTAAATAGAAATTACCACAAACAAATGATTTTTATAATTCATAAAATTGATCATTATATTTACTCCCTAAAGTATTAAAATACTTCTTAATCCAATTATAATATTTGTCATCATTCTTTTCTACACCAATTCCATAATAGTAACAAATGACAGTTTTCCAAATTCCCATAGTACAGTATTACCAGCCTCAACAGATGTTAGATAATGCATAAGTGCTTTATACTTATTTATGGGCATCTTTTGTTTACACAAACACGCAAGTACACAGTTTAAAGGAGTAAAAAAATAAAATAAAATAAAGTACAAATTAAAGATGAAGTTTAATATAATTCCAGTTTGACTAATTTTGGTATTGCAATAACCTTCTTGAGCAGGACATCGTCTCTGAAGCCATTATGGCTTCAACGGCTCATTGGTTAACTTAATTTGATCCTTTTGGAACTTTATTTTTTCTTCGATAATTTTTTTTCTTTGATCTTTTTGTGTCACGTACAAGTTTTACTTGGTGTTTCTGCAAAGAGCATCTTTTAATGCTTCCCATCTTTAAAACCAAGATTAATATACGAAAGATTCACGTATTGTTTTTGCAAAGAGCTTGTGCTAATGCTTATATTTCTTTTATAACTAAGCTGATTATTTTAAGGTCCGAGGATGTAAAGTGTTATTATTGAAGAGAAGAACATTTGCTAATTTCATTTGACTCAATGAAATGAATCAAACGGTAAAAGCTTTAATAAAAATTTAATTTTGAATATTTCTATTTGTACACATTTATATCAGCAAAATTTAAATTACTGGGTTTCAATTAAAATTTGATTTTTTTTTTTAACATTATAGAAGTTAATTGATGTAATCACTCTAATGATGTATCGTAAACTAGTTAATGTAAATTTACTCTTAATTATTTATAGTTTTGAATAAACTAATAGTTGTAGCTCGCAACCCTTATGTACAATAAGGCAGGAACAACTTTAAAGGGCTTCTTACATTCTTCAAACTTTTAAACTTTCTCTTGAATACTATAAAGATCATGATCATTATACTAATGAGTTCTGGTTCATACGTACTCGATAAATCAAGTTTATTTGGTAAAAAAAAAAGAAAGGATCGATATATATATCTTTAATCTATTAAATAAAAATTGGTTTAATGTTGACCTAGTTTCTAGCCTCCCCTCATATTCTATTGTTAAAGTTTCTTGCCAAGAATTTTTCTATTATCTTATCATCTGGAAAAAAACATCTTTTATTACTGAAAATTTTTATATTATTAATAATTTTAAGGAAGATGATAACATAACACTTGTTTGTGATTCTAATTTAGAAAATACAGTTGTTAATGAAAAATTTGATGAATTTGCAAAAAACCAGACTTTTTAAATTTTTGGACAAATAATGAAAATACAATTATTGATTTTCTTAAAGTAAAGTTTTATATTTACTATACAAAGTCTAAAAATCTGATATATTATAAGCATGATTCATTAGAATTTGTAAGATTTATGAAAACAAAATTTAGAGATATCACATTCATTGATAATTATTTTAAAATGTGGCTTGACATTAAGAACAATAAGAATTAATTAGTAATTCGCCTAGGAAGGATAGTATTTCATATGTGCAAATTGCTAATAAAAGTTATTATAATATACTTTAGTTTTCTAATAAAAATAGTATAGAAAACCTTTTACAATTAGTAATTTACGCAAGACTCTAGAATTAATCGTGTTGGGAGTACTATTACTAATATTTGGACATTATTCATTGGCATTTTCTAAGCCACATTGCCCAACCTAGCTCTGTATTGATTAAAGATCAGAACCAATATATTTAATAATAATATATAATTATGATTTCAATTATAACATCCATTAAGTTTCAATTATCATTTCAATACGTCGAGGATTAATCTAAACTTTTTATTCATGAAAATTTATCAATTGAACAAGTAAAAGTAATGAATTGGAAATTTATTTAAAATATCCATCCGTAGTTTGTAATTGTTATAAATATTGCTATTTGCACTAACAAAAAGTCCAGTTTCTTTTAAGAAATCATAAAATTTTTAAATTCAAACTTTTTAAAAGCATCTAGTATAAAAACTTCAAAATGAATACCACTACTGTCATTGTTACCAAATGTCCTGACGGTGATGCAGCTAACCGATGTTCTACAATGTATACTATCACTGAGTCTAGTGCATCTGCTACTGAAGACTCTTATGGTGGAAGTGCCGTCAACCAATGTTCCATTATGTAACTTTATATTCGAGATTCTTTCATCCAATATTAACTTGTTACAAGATTTATACTACCTCCTTTACATCTATGTTAAAAAATAAAAAAGATAATGAATTTTTGCAAATACGTATACTATTCCCTTCAGTATTTCTAGTCTTTTTACAGTTTTAACCAACACAAACCATTACGAACTTTATCTATTTAATATTATTCATTAACACAATTCATCTATTTCAAACAATTAATTTAATGTCATCAATTAATGATAATAAGAAAAGTTTGATTAATTTTTCTGGTAACATTACTACCCAGAAAATTTTTTTCGTCCAATCACAGAATTTAGAGTGTATTTAATTTTCGAGATCAAAACAAAAAATGTATTTGATTAAAATGGAAATTCGAAGTCACAACAAATTAACGTAACCCTATTGAATAAATCACGTTTACTCCAAAGTAAAAAGCATTTAATATCTGAATATCCGCTTTAATGACACTTTTGACTGCAAAAATGTAAAAGATTAGAAGAACTATCTGTTTAACTGCAAGCTCATTTACCCCAATTAACAAAAAAAAGTATTAACAAAAGTAATTATTTCAATTTTTTTGCAAAAAATGCTTCTCCATTAGAGCTAAATTTAAGAGTAGATCCATTTTTTTTTCATTAAATTTCGGTGTGACTTCTCATTTTAAAAAGCATACTGGTAATATTAATACTGTTGAACCTCCCTAAATCGATCCTCTCAAAACCGATAACCTGTCAAATGTAATAAAAAATCAGTCTACAAAGTCCGTTTCCGTTATATAAATCTAATAGTTTGTAATGTTTTCCAAATCTGATAACCTTTCAAGACTGATACAAAATCGGTCCACCATACATATCGGTTTGGGAGGTTCAACAGTAGTATTAAATCTACAAATTTAATAAATTTTAAATTTAAGCGAATAAGGGTAAAGCTATTTTGTTATTAATTTTCTTATACAATCTTGAGAATTTTTATCAAAAAATGAAGGCATGATAATAACGATATAGATTTAAACTTTAATGATAAATGTTTTTCTTAGAAACATTCCTTGTATATAAGCTCCGGTAATAAGGCATGCTTTTGAGGTTGATAAAATAGAAAATTTTCTTTACCGACTTAATTTTTTAACAAATATTTGCTTCTTTGGAAATTAAACAAGCCAATTACGACGTTGGCCAATGAGATTTAGTCAAATTTTCTATGTCCTATATATGTTTGTTTAAACCCCCCTCGAGCATACCGTATTTGCGCAAAATAACGCCCATGAGCGTTATTTTAAGACATAAATTTAAAGTGAACTAATAATCAATTTAAATAAAATTTAAGACATAAATTTAAAGCGAACTAATAATCAATTTAAATAAAATTTTTTTAAACACCGATGTTTTTTATAATTTTATTTATCATTATAAAATAATTATAAATTTTATACAATCACAGTTTGGATCATTTTAAATTAATTAAAAATTAAATTTATTACTTGTTACTATGTTCATTTTTGTTCGTTTTTATTCATTTCTGTCCGTTTCTGTTCGTTTATTTCTGCTGATTATTTCAAATTGCTATTCTTAAACTTAGATAGCTAAAAAAAATTACAGTTGGAACACAGCATACATAAATAAATTATATAACAAAGCTACCAATGTCAAGAATTTCATATATGAATTCAGACCATTGGCAGTCAAATAGGTTATACAAAAACAACTTTAATTTTTCGAAGAATATGTTAAATAATATTCCAGAGATTTTCACAATGCAAATAAACCAAGTCGACCTTTACTGTTCAAGAACTATATAATATGCCTTGACAAGATTGTTACTTATAATAAAATTGCTAGCAAAATAGAGATTCTTCAGATATTGGTTCCAGAGACTTTGAAAAAGGTTTAAATATAACAGTAGGTTAATAGCTATACTTAAGTTTAATACCGATTTAAGTTTAAATAAATGTTTCCTATGTTATCGGCCAATAATGGGATATATGGGTATTATAGTTAGAGGGAACCTATAGTTAGCATAGGAGGTATAAATTGCACTACATGAGTGCCGCCACTCAAAGATAGTATTTTATTTTCAAGTGCTGCATTTTTTAATTTATTCATCTTTAATACCCAGGTACAATACATTCTAGACCTCCAAAATCGTGAGGGTATTATAAAAGGGAAGTTTTTTAAACTAGCTATATGGTACTTACTGACATAATATTAAATTTCTATAATTATAATAAAATCTTAAGTTATTGATCACTATCCAAATAAAACTTGGTTCTATAGGATTGTAAAGATAAACAATTTATGGCTTTGTATGCATTAAATAGTAATCATGGTCAAAATATTTATATAATGCAAATAAATAGATGTCAACAAATATCATTATAAGCTTTTACAATTAATATTAATAATGGATAGGCAGGTTATATTTTGCTAAGAAAATAATAAGCTTTTATTTTTACATGAAGTAACATTATTCAAAATCTTGTAAGTACTATATATATATTATATACTAGATTTTATATTTATTGTGGCATCTTATGCTGAAATTTTGGGACCTTATTTAAATCCTTGATAGTTACTAAAATTCACATATACTTTACTATAAATACTAGCTCTAATTTCTAATTTAATTATAAAAAATTCCCACAAAAAAGGTCTAAAAAATTTTTATAATTTCATAACAAATTCTCAGTATAAGCTAATCTCAGCATAAGCTGCCACATTTAATAACCTAAATGTGTCCTCAGATCTGCACTCAGAAATACTAAGAATTAAAGAGATTCACCGCCAAGATACATCATCTAATAACTACAAAGTGTTCTCAGTTTGACAATTTTGGTATCCATTAAGAAAAGGTCATGGGCGTTCTCAAGCACTTTTCTCAACGGATCCGATAAGGAATTTGGTTGTCTAGTTTAATCAAACACAGACCAATCGAATTCTTTGCTGAGTTCATTGAAAAAGTGCTTGGAACAGGGACACGGGGAAATGCGATTTTATTTATAGGATTTGAAAATCCTATAAATAAAATCGCATTTTCCTCGTGTCCCTGGCTTGGAACGCCCTATGTCTCATTTCTCCGACGGTCATTTCTCCTACAGGCTATTTACACAGGTGATAATTTACTAATAGCATATACCTGCAACTAATTCTAATCTATGCGATATTGGGTAAATAGTTGTAGGGGAGATGACTGTTAGGGAAATGAACAGATACCTAATTTCTTGATTGACTAATTTCCCAATAACAACAACGATAAATAATTGTACTGTATATTTTTCTTGTGAAGATGGCAATCCAAAAAGATGCCCAGAATTGCTCTTCATGCACTTTGGCATTGGTGCTGTAGATATTTGTTGAGTATAGAGCGCAGTAAATTTATTATGTAACCCTGTGACTATTTTTATGCTATGATTGATTACCAACAATTAATTATTAAATTAGGCTTTATAAATAAATAAATAATAAAAAACTACATGTTATATAATATTCAAAGCACAATAAATTATATATATAAATTTTATTATACATTATAATAAAATATAATTTTTTTTTTATTAAAATTATATGGAATGTATAATATATTTAAAATTTTATACTTAATGTATAACTTTTTAATAAATAATCTATATTCTGTATGTTGTTGTATACTATTGTAATACCTCTTAAATATATTTCATATTCCTAATATGATCTTATAAAATTCTACAACAGCTAAGTTTTTTTTACTATAAGATTTGAATTTGCCACTCAATATATGAGTACCACCAAGAGAAAACCTGTCATCAGGCTCTCAATTTTATTTCATATCATACTAGACATAATTCTTAACAAATTAAATAGATTAAATCCGGTACAAAATAAAATTGAAAGCCCGATGACAGGTTTCCCTTGGCGGCACTTATATAATAAATAACCTCTTGTTAAGAGTAGTAGCTATGGTAATTTTGAAAGAAACATTTTAGTTAATAAAAGTGTTCTTCGTTATAATTAGACCTCTCATAATTAAAAATTACTATCATGCCTCTTTTTAATACATTTCAGCTAAATAGGCATTATCATCACTAAGGTTCTCCAGAAGTGTAATATTTACTCAGATAGGTATTCTATACCTACAGTTTTCTTGATTTTACTTGAATATGTTATGTCTATTAAATGTCATGTTTAGTACGTAACCCCGTGAACATCATTAAAAAATGTTTATAGCGATAGCATAAATATTAAATATTTTTTCTTTTTTAACTTTAAATCTACATATTAGGTAGAATTTGAGTTCTCTTAACATTCAGGTTTATTTAGAATTTTATCGCAATTGATGGTGATTTTGAACTAATAAAACTTTGATCTTGAGTTGAAAGAGCAGTATAATAAAACTTATTCGAATATATGTTTTGATATTTAGATATTTACCAAAAATTTGTATATATTATTCATCGATCAGGTCTCTAACAATATATTAAAGTTTTTTTTTTATTTTAAACTTTATATTAGTTTCTAATATATTATACTATATGATATTGCTATGATTTAATTACTTTATTTACTGTAATTAATTAAAATTTTTGTGAATATAATTTTAATATATCGAAGAGTACTACTTTGTATAAATCAAATATTATAAGTTTAATTATATTAAAGCTTTTGTTATATAAACTCTGTTTATATTAATAGTATCCCTTATTTTCAAACTTACAATTATGAATAAAAATAATTTTAATACAAGTAAAAAACGAAGTTATACGGTGGCATTCAAACTTGAAGTAATATCGTATGCAGAAAAAACTTCTAAACTTAATGCAGCAAAGCATTATAAAATAGATAGAAAAAGAGTTAAAGAGTGGATAAAGCAAAAATCCGAACTTGAGGCTATTAAATATGATAGAACCTTAAATTCAAACCAAATACGAGTGCTTAAAGGTCGTGGACGAAAGGCCATGTATCCTGAATTAGAACAAGAATTATTAGATTTTATTAAAAAAATGCGAAGAGAAAAAAATTGTGTAACAACATCGATGATTCAAGAAAAAGCAAAAGAGCTTGGAAAAAGATTAGGTCTAGAAAATTTTAAGGCATCACGTAGTTGGGCTACACGATTTAAAGATCGAAATGATTTAACACAACGTGCACGTACACAAGCAGCACAAAAATTTCCTGAGGATGCACCAGTAGTTATTAAAAATTTTCTTAATCATTCACAAAAAATAACTAAAACTACAGTATAAAAAAAGATTATATTATTTCATTTGATGAGACTCCTGTATGGTTCGATATGCCACGAGACTCAACAATTGATTTTCGAGGTGTGCGTGAAGTATTAATAAAAACTATTGGAAATGATAAATTAAGATTTACTGTTGTTTTAGCATTTACTGCATCTGGAAAAAAGCTTCCTCCAGCAATAATTTTTGGATTAAAAAAAATTCCAAAAGGAAATTTTCCAAAGGATTTGTATTAATAACAACACCTTGTGCTAATATGCGAAGTGAATTAATGCTATCTACATATATTCCTCAAGTTAATAATATGTGTTGCCATAATTTTTACAGCAATCAGTTTATTAACAAATTAATTTTAAATTGCGTTATTATTGCAGGTTATACGTGCTAGACCTGATGGATTTCTTAAAAGTAAAGGAGTAATATTTGTTGATAAGCATAGTAGTCATATACAAGATGATGTTATAAAGGCA